CCCACACCCCGCCCACACCCACACCCACACATCCACACCCACACCCCGCCCACACTCACACCCACACCCACACCCCGCCCACACCCACACCCACACATCCACACCCATCTTCTTCCAGTAGGAATCTGCTTATTCGAGCTATATAAAGACTCGAGCGTGGATTGAGAGTTTTATAAATACATATGACAGGAAGTCGAACCTCTATGAGCTATGTCTAAAAACATTTCAGCCACAGGTCGATCTTTCGTAGTAGATAGAAATGATCGAGTCATAAAAATCTTTTCCATAGCATCGTACTGGAGGTCGTCAAATTTAATATTCATTCCGCGAAAAGTCTTACCGCTATGATGATACGGTTGAAGATTCGGATGATAAATGAGAATGGTAGCGAATAAATGTGCTCCCATGCCTTTTGGGAGCTGATCATCTCGATAGCCCGACTGCAATATTGCAGATGCAGTTTCAAATCGAAAATCCGAGCCAAGTCGGGCTAAATCACGATTTATATGAGAAAAAAACGGTGTCGCTTCTGTATCAGGTGTTACCAATGGAAGTGCAGTCTGTTCAGTAATAGCCTTCTCCACGTAACTTTTGATAGTGGCACGATTTTCATTTGAACTAAATTCGATCTTATCAATATAGCCGTGGTTCAATTCTTCTAGTAGTTTGACCAGGGATATTTTAGTTAGCCAACGTTCCATATCTCTACGGTTTTCATAAGCGATACGATGCGCAGTCGGATATGCATCGATCCATTCAATATTGTCAAGATCAGCTTCTGCAGCAACAAAACGTCTTTCAGTTTCATGGTTCTCCTCTGATCGACGTAGCCCACTAGAGAAGATCCTTTTACTGAATTCTTCGGATGCAACTTCTGACGATGGTTGAATAAGACAGCAGGAGTTCTGATACATTTATCTAAAACAAGAGAGAAAGAAATATGTTCATAATAGCGTAGTATTCATGAACCCATTTTATCAAAAATGGCTGCTGGTATGTTATATTCAGAAGTTTCGTTAATCATGTCAACTGCATCGAAATTTAGAATTTCTGCATGATAATCCTCTTTCAACA